CCCTCAGACCTCCCAAGGTCGGGGGAAGGCAGTGCCTGAGACCCAGTGTAGCAACTGCTTAAGGGGACTGACTCAAACTTACTTGTTATCACCTCCTCTTTTCAGAAAACAACAATAAGCAAAGCAAAACAAATCCCCCCCAAAAACTCAGCACGCCTCCTGGCAATGAGAAACATCTGCCTTATAACCCACAACCCAGGATAAAGTATCAAAACTCCCTGCCCTCGAGTGAGCCCTGATTCAAAGAGACCCTATAGGATAGAGTTGAGCGGCCGGCCCCTGTGAGTGTCTGAGACTCTCTCTCCAGAAGTAGAAAGCCCCATCTTTCTCCTACAGAGCGACTGGTGGTTTCAAACATCTGGCCTTATGATTGGCAGCCCAAGGTGTAACCACTAGGCCACCAAGGCTCCTACGGATAAAGTAGAGGTATCTGCTTTTGTAGGGCCCCCCTGGATCATTCGTAAGGACGCATCCCACTTGGTAAGGGAGAGGGTCCTTGGAAACGAGGACCTCTCGCCAAAATGGGTTGTGACTGCAACCGTGGGCCCAGACCTCAGGGAATTGTGAGGCTGGTGGGGGACCAGGCTGTGTCTTGTTCTGTGTACACAAGGTCGTTGGGAGTCAGACCCACTGAACGGCATCTCACGACAACTCGTTCACTGCGGTTGGGTGGAGGCCGACTCACAGCCACCCAACTGCCCCTCTGAGTTTCTGAGACTATAATTCTTTTCAAACGATTGACCTTGAGGACCGCAGCCCAATGCGGAATCCCCATGCCCTCAGGGCTCCTAATACCACCACCAGATAGCGTGCATCCTCCTCCCATTGGACAGCCCTGATGGAAGCAGGTGATGTCGGGGAGAACCTGTGGGAAACGAACACTAAGGGAACTAGGACGAGGACTATACTCCCTAAATGATCACAGAGGGAGTCTGGAAAGCTGGTCTTCCACAGTAGGAAAGCCTCCATTTGGTAAGTTAGAGGTAAAATCCAAGTACACTATCCTGCTTTAAATATTCCCACAGATTTCCCCCTTACAGCTACACTGCCTTAAAGTGAGCACATGGTTGATTCTATCTCCCTATGGAAGCAGACATCCTTCTGCTCTCTCCTACCGCCATGACACCCAGCTCCCCTCCTACCTTCCCCCATGCGGGTATTAGGTTTCCTCACCTGTGAGCTCAGGGAGCTTCCTGTAGATACCACCCACCTTGGGACCCATGTAACCACTGAAGATGCATGTGTTAAGGAGGGGATGCTGTGTGGAACCATGGTAGAGAGCGTGGATGGGGCTGTGTCAACCCAGAGACTCTGGGGTAGCCGTGTGAGAGGGTCGATGAGCCAGTGTAGACAAAGAGGGGAGTGTAGACCACCCCACGGAGAGGGAGGGGTGCGATGTAGACTCTTAGGGACCCCGTGTAGACAATGCAGGAACAAGCTACATAGCCGGTACCCAGTGGAGGTGTTTCAGCAGTCAATGGAGGCTCCAGGGCAGGGGTATAGACCGTGTGTAGGACCCAGTGTGCCCCGTTCTACAGGAGATTCAGTGCAGGGAATGCCAGGGGCCAGTCTAGACAGGGTGTAAGTGAGCCAGGAACCATCTGAACGATGGTGAAGAGGGCACAGGTCAGGGCACAGTTTCCTTCCATTGTGCACAGGGTGGGTATGGGTCGGAATCAACTCGCTGGCACCTAGCAACAAGAGAACCACGTTGGACCTGTAGTATCGGTGTAGATCGTGGCTAGGGGAGCTGGTCCAGACAACAGCGAGGGCTGAAAACAGCTGGTGTAGGCAATGCAGTGAGTGCTACCCATGGCTCTGGGGGTAAGGCCGAGTACTGCAGGGACCAGGGAGTGGGTGTAAGGTATTGGTGGGGAACCAGAGTAGCAACACCAGGACTGCCAGTATAGACAGCTCCCCAGGGAAGCAGGGCTAGGCAATGTGCCGGGGCGGTGTAGACTGCTGAAGATGGTAAGGTTGGATTGTGGGGTACCAGTGCGGACAAAGGCCAGGGGAGCCAGCCCACCAGGGAGCCCCATACATAGACTGTGGTCCGAGGAGCTGGTGTAGACATGGAAGGACAGTGTGGCCTGTGACTCAGAGCAGCCAGTGTAGACAGCAGGGGTGGGGGCACGTAGACCACCACTTCGAGAGCTGAGAGAATAATGGGGGTGGGCATTTCGGACTGAGTTCAGCCCATGGGAGGGTGGGGGCAGCCTGGCTATTGATCTGAACCCGCTCACCCCAGAGCTTACTCACAACGGATGTTCAGCATCACCGGGAGCTCTCGGGGTTCCTTGAAGCTCTCATGCTCCACTCGACATGTAACATTCTTGCCATCCATCCAACTCTGGGGCATCAACATCAAGGAGCTGTTGACATTGTCTGTGCCAGGCAGGGGCCCAGGCCCCTGGCTCGTCTGGGCCTTCTGGCTGATATTCCTGTCCCAGGGCAGGGACCAGGAAACGTTGCTAGGTGGACGGCCCCCAATGGTGACACAGAGGGCCAGGGGCACAGGCGCAGGGCTGAGCGGGATGTCTACTGGCAGGGCCAATGCCTGAACCTGGGGCTGGGCTGGGGAGTGGGGAGGAGAGAGAGAGAGAGAGACAGAGAGAATGTTCTTAAGTTAAGCTATCACAGAAACACCACTAGGGGGCAACTTGAACAAGCAGGGTTTTATGTTCGCCCTGTTCAAATCCAGACCCAGGCTCCCCGGAAGCCCATTCCGATCCATACAGCGGAGGACATTTGGAGTCGATTCTGATTCGGACCCACAGCGATCCGACAGCAGAGTCCAACTGCCCCTGTGGGTTTCTGAGGCTGTCAGTCGTGATAGGAACAGAACCACCCCATCTTTCTCCCTTGGACCGCCTGGGGGTTTTGAACTGCTGGCCTGGAAGGCAGTGGTCCAACTCATAACCCACTAATACCACCAGGGTTCCTTGATGATAACCATCGTCATCAAAAACAAACAAACAAAAACCAACCACGCTCACTGCCACTGAGTCAGTCCTGAGTCATAGTGACCACAGAAAAGAGGAGAAACTCCACAGGGTTTCTTGATGGGAAGGTAGGTGTTTGCTAAGCCCAAGGTCAGTGGTTCGATCCCCCTAGCTGCTCGGCAAGAGAAGCTGAGGATGCTGGCGCCGTAAAGACTCCCAGAGCCGTGGAAACCTTACACAGGATGGCAGTGAGTCGCAATCAACTTGACGGCAGTGCGGTGAGCTTCGGGGCTTATAGGATTTCCAAACTGGTGGCATAGTGGGCTCTGTGTTGGGCTGCTAACCATGAGGTCGGCTGTTCGAAATCACCAGCCCCCTCCTCTGGAGAAAGATGAGGCTCCCTTCTCCCGGAAAGAGTTCCAGTCTCAGAAACTCCCAGGTGGCTAAGAGTCCGAATGGCCCTGAGTTTGGCTTCTGGTTTGGTCCTCTTGTTTGGTAAGCTTTACCAAAACACACAGCGTCCTCTTTTCTCTACAGGAGCTGCTGGTGCATTCAAACCGCTGACCTTGCAGTTGGCAGCCCCTTGTCGAATCCGCTGCACTGCCAGGGCTCTGGATTCAAACTCAAGACAAACTCCGAACCCCACAACGGTGGAGTCCATTCGGCCTCATGGTGACCCCCAGGGCGTTATTACTCACTGTGGCATTCTTGGCTGTGATCTCCCCCCCCCCCTTTTATTGGGGGCTCTTACATCTCTTATCACAATCCATCCATTCATCCAGTGTGTCAAGCACACTTGCCCATAGGCCTTGCTGTGATCTTTACGGAAGTAGTCAGCCAGGCCTCTCTTCCGCAGGGCTGCTAGGTGGGGAGGGCAGTTTAAGACAAACCTCGTCCCCCCCGCCCCATGCCATACCCTTGATCTCCCCCTTACTCCCCTCTTTCTCTTCCTGCCTCCTTACCCAGCACTCGGAGCCGGACGCGGTCCTTCAGGCTGCCCTGTGGGAACAAGACGAATTCACAGGTGTAGCTGCCCTCGTCTTTGGAGCTGAGCTCCCGTAGGACCAGAGACCCGTCCAGCAGTCCAGTTGCCGTCCCTGAGATGTGGAATGCCATCCTCTTGGGGTTCGAAAAGTGTGTTTCCCCGGTAGACAGCATGATGGCCACGTTGGTGGGGGTGTCCCCCAGGAGCTGCCACTGCACCTGCGTCACTTGCCCGTGGCCCTGGGGCAGCAGCAGCCTACACGGCAGAGTGACGTTGGCGCCCTGGTAGCCGAGCACCTCGGGGAGCGATTGCAGGCTGACATCCTGGGTCCCTGTGGGGAAACGAAGTGGGTTAGGCCTGGGCGCCCCGGCTCTGGGTGGGCGAGCACCTGGCTGCGGGGGGTGACGGATGGAAGAGTTCTGCACAGTGTTGGTGGCAACCTGGGCCCTATTGTGTGTGTGGGACCCTCTAGTTCAGTGTTTCCCCAAGTGGGTGATACCGGCGCCCTGCCCCCAGGATGACAAGGGTGCTGGGGAGCTTTAACACCTTAGGTTCCTGAACTTGCATGGCCTACTGCCCCCTTTTTCAGAGAAAGAGTTACTTGGCACCCCCATGGCATTGAAAAACTTTTGTACTATAGCCTGTAATCCAGGGTCAAGTGTAGGTCCTGATTTAATAGTCCCTCACCCTCCATCATCCCAGTGCTCCCCAGGGGGTGGTATCCTCCATTTTGGGATAAATTGTACTATCTCCTACTTGGGTGAGTATCAATTGGGGTCTTAAAAGCTTGTGAGCCCAGGAGGGGAAGGTGAAGGGGGTGGGGGCGAAAGAGGGAACCGATCACAACGATCTACCTATAACCCCCTGAAATAGTTTACTGTGCCAGCCTGGCTGATAAACACAAGTGGGATTGACTGAAGGGCAGAGAGATAAATGGCTTGGTGAGCTTCGCCTTTCTTGTCTCTCGCTCTTTGATCATCGGACCAGTGTGCGGCTGCCTTGCTTGTTCTGTGACTCAATTTAAAGGCTACACTACCTGTGGGACGCCTAGCCTGTGGACTGTATCGCTGTAAGTTGAGGTCCCTTTAAGACATCTCTGGAGCTGGGGACTGGCGGTTGGTGACCTGCCTTGTGATTGGCTGCTGTGCTGACATAGCCTAGCTCTTTCTACAAATAGAGGAAGATCTGGCAGCAGACTAGACTTGAAGGACTGCTAGTCTCTCACAACTCTCTCTCACGGACATGAGTTGCACCGAGCCATTTGTAGTGCTTTATAATTTAACTGTTTATTTCTTGTATTATATATTTATCTGTATATGATTTCACAGTTCATTTCTTGTTATATATATAATTATCTTTATAAATAAATATATTAAATTATCAGCAATTTGGTTTTATCTCTCAAGAGAACCCTGTCTAACACACCCCCTCCCAGAGGGATGGACAACGGAAAAGTGGGTGAAGGGAGACATCAGTCAGTGTAAGACATGACAAACTAATTATAATTTATAAATTATCAAGGGTTCATGAGGGAGGGAAGGGGAAAATGAGGAGCTGATACCGAGGGCTCAAGTAGAAGAAAATGTTTTAAAAATGATGATGGCAACACAGGTACAAATGTGCTTGACACAATGGATAGATGGATAGATTGTGGTAAGAACTGTAAGTGCGACCAATAAAACAATTAAACAAAACAAGAGTTACATGATGGGAAACAAGTTTATGAGGCAAGAGAAGGTCACTCTGTGAGTTGGCATCGACTGGCGGCAGTGAGTGATAAAAATGTGGATTAGAAACTTTCCCAAATTGTATTACAAAGACAGAAAAGTGAGCTCGCTGTCAGGGATTGATTCTGATTCATAGCGACCCTATAGAACAAGGTAGCACTGCCCCTGGGGGTTTCTGAGACTCACTTTTTCTCCCTCTTCATGGGCGTAGAAAGCCTTGTCTTGTACCCATGGAGCCGCTGGTGGATTCGAACTGCTGACAACTCAACTCACTGCCACGCAGTCAAACTCTGACTCATGTAGACCCTCTAGGGATTTCCCCACTGTGGATTTCCAAGACTGTAACTCTCTCTTGCTCTCTCTCTTTAAACTTTCATTAACGTTTATTTTAAGCTTGGTGTTAGCCCGGGTTGGCTAGAGAAACAAATTCATAGCCACTCGTATGTGTATAAGAGCGTTATATAACAGAGCAATTGTATGTTGAGAAACCATCTCTGCCCAGTCCGGCAACACATCTTGGGGGCTTTATTCACATGGATGTGTTCAGTGACCAGAGAATCCACGTGGAAACCCTTAAATTCATCCCTGAATCTGCATTTTTAAGCATGCACAGCAAAAGCTCAGCACTCTCTTTGGGCCACCGACCCTGGGTCCTGCCCCACTGTTTGGATGGGCCTATTGGTGCATTTGTTTACACAGGCTATTGAAATGTCTCCCATCCCCGCAATCTAAAGAATCTTTCACAAGAGTGAAACTTTTGTTTTGTTTTCATGAGTGAGAGCACCTCCGTATGAACATTTTCCTTCCCATTTTGAAAAAAAAAAGGACATTATTTTTCTTCATGAATATGAATGGGAAACACTTTATCATTGTATATTAATTGTTATTATTATTATTATAAATCGAGGGTCTATATAACCTCTCAGTAACTCGGTCCACAAATCTATATCCCTCACCAGTAGCCAATCATAAAACTGTATTTTTGTAATCCATGGGAGAAACTTTGAAACATGGAAAAATAGTGTAATTTCTGAATTTATGTTCTTGAGTGAGGGAAAGTGGTTCATTTAATTGTCATTCACAGAAATATTGGGAAATATCTCCTTATAGTAAAAAGATTACTTCTAAAAAATAAGAACAGGGTGGAGAGGGGAAAAATGAGGAACTCATATCAAGGGCTCAAGTAGAAGGGAAATGCTCTTTGGTCATGGCTATGGATTGTGATAAGGGTTGTACGAGCCCCCAAGAAAATGATTAAAAAAAAAAAAGAATTTCTTGAGAAGCTGATACCAAGGGCTCAAATAGAAAGTAAATGTTTAGAAACTGATGACAATATATGTACAAATATGCTTGATACCATTGATGTATGGATTGTTGTAAGAGCTGTAAGAGCCCCCAATAAAATGATTTAAATAAATTTTAAAAATAAATAAAATATTTTTAAAAAAGAAAAGAAAATGATGATGGCAACATATGTACAAATGTGCTTGACACAATGGATGAATGTATGGATTGTGATGAGAGTTTAAGAGCTCCCCCCCCCAAAAAAGAGCCCCCAATAAAAGTATTTAATAAAAATAGGAAACTCTTGAGAGGTTCGTGAGAGATCCTGTTCATGAATGGCAGAAAGGCATCATTTATTATTACCCACACTATGAATATGTGTGAGACACTTGATTATTTTTTCATTCACATAATGAAATGGGTGCTTTCCCCTTGTTCTGATAAAGATTATTTTGGAAACTTGTCAGAGGCTTTATAAAAACAGTCATCACTGGAGAAGCTGGGTCTGTGTTATTCACACAGGCATGGGGGTTGGGGGGTTACTTGTCAAACATTAAAGAAGAATGATGAATCTTTGAAACACCCTATGGCACGGATGGTTTTGGGGGACATGATTTTGAACGGATGTAGTTAATCACCGAAGGACAAACATTGTCTGCCACTGTTGCTGTCAAAGCAAAGAAACCGATGAAGGTTTTTTCACACCGAAAGTAAGAGACTTTGATGGTTATCAAGGGTGAGAAGGGAGAAGGGGGGAGGCACAGGCTAACAGCATAGACAGCTGTTAACTCAGGTGACACAAACTCCCAGCCATCTCTTTTTGACTCATAAGGACACTGTGGGTTTAGGAGACAAATTCTTTACAAGTGCAGAAAGCCTCATCTTTGTCTCAAAGAGCAGCTGTGTGGTTGAACTGCTGACCTTTTGGTTAACAGCCCAGGCCATAACCCACCACTGCCACCAGGATTCCCCTCCAAGAGGGGGGTGGGCAAAAATGATGGTAGCCAGCACAAGACGTTGGGAGTTGTGATAAATTCTTGTATATAAAAAACGATGGTCGGCTCTGTGAGCCCTTACCTAAAGCCACCGTGAAAAGTTAAAAGTCAACAACAGCCAAAGGAAATGAGAAAGAAAAAGCTAGCAGGCAGAGGGGCGAGGGTGGCTGGAAGGAGGCAGGGCACTGCTGGGGCACAGGCTGGCAAGGGAGTGGGGAGCGCTCTGGTCTGGGGGAGCGAGTCCCTCCCGTGCAGTTTCCTCTTCTTAGAGAGAGGCCAGGGTCGCCTCCCTTGGCAGGGTGGCCCCTTGGGACAGCTGGTTGGTCCCTCGGGTGTTCTTGGAAAAGCCACTTCCTCGGGGGTGGGGGTGGGGGTGGGGGCTCCTCCAAGCCCCAAGGAGAAACTAAGTTTCTCACACCCATTGAAAGGAAGGGGAAACAGAGCCTCAGGGCTCTATCATGCGCCCTGGCTAAACCGCGCGGCCCCTGAGATCTGTCCGGTGTCAGCAGCTCACGCGTGTCCAAGGTCTGGGTTTCGCTTTAGTTCCTGCTGACGTCAAGACCAAGTGCACGCGGCCAGGCTGGGAGTCTCAAGGTCCCGCCCCAAACTTCTCCGTTTCTAGCGCAGCAGCGCCCAGCCTGCGATCTGAGAAGCCCTTGGGGAAATGTTGAGCTGGGGGCGGAAGGAATGGGGGACGGAGGACGGGGATGCGAGTGGGGGGGGGGCGGGGGGGGCGGGGAGAGGAAGAGCAAACTTTTTGCTGTTTACACCTGTTGCCATTAGTCAGGGTTTATGAGGGCAACGCCCTAAAAAGTCCCCCAAGACCCAGGCAGATCGGGTCACCCTCCTGAGAAACAGCGCGAGAGGTTGGGCAACCTTCTCTGAAATCACAGGGGCCAGGCAGAGAAAGAGAAAGCTTTGTTTCTCGGTCAAAGCGGTCCCATCTCCTAAACTCACTGGGCGCAGGTCTCTCAGGGTCCCCATGGCAGTAAACTCTGGCTTGAGGCTCCCCACCACCCACCCCATCCCGGGCACGTAGGCTGCTGGCCGACACACCCAAACCAATCAAACTCACTATCATGGAATCCAGGCTGACTCATAGGGACCCCCCACCCTGGGGGTTCCCTTAACTGAAACTGTTTACAGGAATATAGCCCAGTCTGTCTCCCGAGGAGCTGCTGGGGATCGCAGCCCAACGCCTACCCACTACACACACCACCAGCAGGGCCACAATGGGTGTGGTTCCTTTTATGAACGCCGCGGAATGAATGGAGAGCCGCAGCAAGTCCCTGCAGTTGCAGCTGAAAGTGAGGTGTTTCCCCCCCCACGCCCGCTGCCTTCCGCATCACAACCAACCTCAATGGAGGATCAGAGTGGGTGACTTGGATCTGAGGTTCACATGTGGGTGTGTCACGGAGCAGGGTGTGGGTGTGGGGGGGTGAGGTTACCCAGACTAAGTTCTCAGTGATGAAACGGCACCAGGGCCGGCCCAGCATCTGCGCCCCTCCTCAGCTCCCCCCTTCCCCTATACTCCTTCCAACCCTAGGAGGGGTGCAGCGGATCCGTTAAGGACCCCCGGGGACAGTGTGGAATGCCGCCCAGAGGTCCCAAGGTTATCTTGGGGGAACTGATGGCCCCACCCTTTTCCTGGGGAGCGGACGGGGACTCAGCTGGGGAGTTGGACCTGGTGACTTTTGGGTTAGCCGGCTAGCACAGTGGACGTCCACGGTCTGCCCTCCCACCCGCACCCCCACCCCAGTCCCCCAGCCTTCACCCTCCCCCTTGACCTCACCCCCCTCGCCCCTCTGCACGCCTTGTAGAAACAATCAAACCAAACTCGCTGCCATGGAGTTCATGTTCTTGGGGAAGGCCAGTCTTGGGAACTTGAATGCCCCGATGTGTGCGCGCGCGTGGGGGGAGGGGGGCAGAGAGGAAAAGGGGAGAAGGGAGCAGTCACTTACCGGCTCTCAGGGGTCCCTGGGCCATCAACAGCAGACCCAGTCCGAGTAGCTGAAGCTGAGGGTCCTGCCCCATGGCAAGTTATCTGGCCGCTGGCACCGCTCCACTGTTAGCCGGCCGGCGTCCGCGGAGCCGGATGGGGTGTTGGGCACCCCGACCCGCTTCTGCCCCTGGTGGTAGCGCTAGTGGCGGCGGCGGACGACGACGCTAATAAGGACCCAGCCACCTGGCACCGCCTGCGCGGCAGCCCCCTCCCTTCCGGACAGAGACTGAGTCAGGCGCACGCTGAGCGCTAAAAATAAAGGCTGAGGCTCTTGGAAAGGGCTCATACCAAGGTTGGAGAGCCAGACACTTCCTCTACCTTCGCTGCGGGCTCGCCCGGGGCAATGTGCTTCTCTTCATGGTGTGCGTGCGTGCGTGCGTGCGTGCGTGTGTGCGTGTGTGTCTCAGTTTCCCCAGTCTGTCCAATGGCCGGCTAATAGGATTCATCTCACAGGGCTGGGGGTGGGAGAGGAGTGAGGTGGGGCGTGGGGTGGGAAGAGGGCTCATTGTTAAGGTTCAGAGGAAAAATGGCTGCTTGCCCCAAATCTGGGTGCCTCATTGGGGCTCAATAAACAGCACTTCTAATAAGTAAAAGGAAGAAATATAGTCGATGGGGCTTCAAAAAATTCGCGGGGGAAATGGAACCGAAAGAGTGGGATTAAAAAACAAACAAACAAACAGAAAAGAGCGGGGTTTCCTCATGAACAAACGTTTTGCAGCCCCCTTGGACATTTTTTTTATTAGGGGCGTATGCAACTCTTATCACAATCCATACGTACATCAATTGTGTAAAGCACGTTTGTACATTCATTGCCCTCATCATTCTCAAAACATTTGCTCTCCACTTAAGCCCCTGGCATCAGGTCCTCATTTTTTCCCCCTCCCTTCCCGCTCCTCCCTCCCTCATGAACCCTTGACAATTTGTAAATTATTATTTTGTCATATCTTCCCTGTTTGACATCTCCCCTCACCCACTCTTCTGTCGCCTGTCCCCCAGGGAGGAGGTCACGTGTAGATCCTTGTTATACGTTCCCCCTTTCCAACCCACCCTCCCTCTATGCTCCCAGTATCGCCACTCACACCATTGGTCCTGAAGGGATCATCCGCCCTGGATTCCCTGTGCTTCCAGTTCTTATCTGTACCAGTGTACATCCTCTGGTCTAGCAAGTCTTGCAAGGTAGAATTTGGATCATGATAGTGGGGGTAGGGGGGTAGGAGCATTTAGGAACTAGAAGAAAGTTGTATTTTTCATC